ACAATATTATTGTGTGATATTTTAGCATTTAAAAGTATTTGAAGTTAAAGTGAGGCAATATAGAAATATTATAGACCTGTCCCTCTCTGCGCGACAAATCGTTCACTCACCCGCATGCTGATATATCTCTACAAAAAGACAAACTCAGTGGTCTCAGTCCGCAAGCGAACGATACCGACCGAGCGACCGCCGCTTGTCGGCAAAGTTAGTGCCAACTTTAGCGGATAGAGGATGTCGCGTGGTTAGCGCAACGAATCCCCACGGCCGTTAATTTCCGTCTTCTAGACTGGAGCCGCTATTTCCTTGAAATATCTCTTAAATTTTCCACACGAGTCTGAGTGGACCCTGTTCCAGACCCATTACTGCTCAGAAAATCTGGTAGTGACTGGAATCGAACCCGAATTTCCGGATCTGTAGGCAGGAACTTCGACCGCTAGACCACAGAAGCTCACTACAGTGAATGAAAATTCCATTATGCTTCCTTTTCAATATTTTAAGACCGGAATAACCGTCCTTGGACAAAGAACATTTTCGACGAATTTCGTTGAAAATGAGAATGCGTTCTCTTGCTCGAAAATATCATTCATATGAATCATTAAATAAATCAATCAATCAGTTAACCAGTTTCACTGATATAGTAGGATATACGTAAATTACCATCGTTAGAATAGCTGATGTCGAAGGTGTTGTCCGTCCAAAGTGACACTGTACCGACCGACGTTTCGAAACTTCCAGTTCTGTTGAAAGGAGAACATTGTTATTGGCACGTGTAAACACAGATGGAATATATTTTATGATTAAGCCATATGTATGAAGTTCGACATATGTGTGATAACAGTCCCAGTACCAACACCATTCTGTTGTCTATACGAAGTTAAAATGTAACTTGACTTGTAGCAGAAGTATAATCATTTTAATAAATATGAATAAATTACAGCAGGCCTTGTACTTTCACGCACAAAGCAGCGAATAAGTGAACTGGGACATCGTTCACTCAGTTCAAAGAATGCTATCAATATGGAATATTCCATTAATATTTCGCGAACTTCATGCTATGTATGTAAGGGGGGACCCGGTAGCGCAATTGGTGAAGTACTATGCTACAAGTCGGATGTTCGCGTGTTCGAGTCCCGATGAGGTAAATTTTTTCAATTTACCTAATCCTTCCAGCCACATTATAGTCCTGGGTTCGACTCAGCCTCTAACAGAAATGAATACCAGGAATCTACCTGGGGCGTAAAGGGCGGCCGGCATGTAAGGCTCTCACCGCCATCTGTGAGCCGATTGTCTAGAAAATGTGGCAGCCTCGATGTCTCACAACCCTATGAGCCTTCACGGCCTGTTACAGGGATAGTTTTTCCCTTTTACCTTACATTTTCAAGTATAGTCTACACGTGTGTTTGCAGGCGTTCTGAAGGTCTCAATGTGGAAGAAGGTTTCGAAACTCGAATATGATAACTGGGGAAAATAATGGCAAATATTGTAGCGTGTAGACCATTACTTGGTAACGGTTGAAAACAAACACGTCTCCACAGCAACGAATCAACACACAAGAATAGAGGAACTGATGGGAACGGCGTTCCGTAAAGTAACTCGGAGTTGTGGGATATGTGCCAGACGGTACGGACGTAAGCGGACAGCATTAAAACACGTTACCAGGAAACGACTAGTGAACATTGAAAAGAATTTATGCCTGGTTTAGTTACAGTGATATTTGGAGGCTTAACTCATTGAGACTGTTATAATTACTTGTATTTACAGTCCGTTCAATTAATCTAGTAACCAATCCAAACCCCGTCTATAGTCACTCTGTCACGTGACAATATTTAGAGTTGAGCCTAATGTGAAGTGGTGTGACGTCGTATAACATGGAATTCGAAGAATACTACTTTCTATGTCGTGACAACGTACAGTCAGGTAGAAGTTGACCGTCTTTTCGGACGAACATCGGTAAACTTCTATTAGAGTACACGGCATCACATCCCAGAAAATAGTACTCATAATTACCGCCTTCGTAACTTCAAATCTAACAAAATCGAAATCATCGAAGAATATTTATTACGGATATAGCACACACACCTCCACGTAAATTCAAATCGTTTGTGCAACGTTCGAAAATGCTCCTATATTCGACATGTCTGTCCTATGCGCATGTTCCAGCTAGAGCACGGATGAACGTATTTTTATGAAATGTTATATTAGAAAGTTGTACTGAAATTTTCGACGAATTAACACTTCGGTTATTTATTTATTGTTTATCTAACGAAGTTGTCACTCAATATTTAGCGTCGAATGGTAAGCTGCTGTTGAGTAATGAATTGGGATGAATTCGGAACAAACGCGGCCATGGCCTAGTTGAAGTACTATTCCGGCATTTGCAAAGGACCCCGGAAAGCCACAAAGAAAAAAGGGTAGTTGAGGTTCAAACTGTGAATCTCCCAAATGGAAGTCTGAAGCGTTATCACCTGGGCCAATTTACTCAGTAGAAAAGGTAAATTCATCAATACGCTTAACTATTGTAATTAAGCACTACGCCATGAAGGCGTATGGGGGAGTAGATGTATAGATCCACGTTTTCTTGACCTCGGCACTAGCTGAATGTGAGTGGTCAGCCTCATGCCCTTGCCGCTTTACCCCCGGGGATAGAACCCCAGATACCCATTGGATAGGAAGTTGGGTGGACCCCAGAGCTGGTATGAACGCCGTGGAGAAGAGAAATTTCTTTGACCTACCGGGGCTCGAACTCCGACCCCTCGGTCGTCCAACCCGTAGCCAGTCGCTATACTGACTGCGCTATATTTGGGTTAAAATCGGAGAACAGTAACCGACACATTACATGAAGACCTACACGCATGCGTTTCTGCGCACATCTCGAGTGCAATGCTTATGTGTCGGAGCGCAAAATGTTCCTGTTAGAAGTTGCGAGATAGAGAGATGAAACACTCATGTTATGGTCGTAAATCTCATAGTTTTCGAGATGATTAAAGAAAAGAGCAAAAATGTGCACGAATTTTTAAGCTATGCGTATTTTTCCTGACTTATAGTATAAAGCAAGGAGTGGGTTAATTTTTTATGCTAGTGGGGTGGGACTAAGCCCCTTGTACTGCGGCCACTTCTGGCCTATTGTACCAGCCCCAGATGATTGTGGAGCAATTGGTGGGATGAAGATTGGCAGGGGAAACCGAAGTACTCGGAGAAAACTTGCCCCAGCACCACTTTGTCCACCACAAATCCCACTTGACCAGACCCCGGGATCGAACCCGGGCCGCAGCGGTGGGAAGCCAGCGACTAACCGCTTGAGCTATGGCGCGAAGGAGTGGGGTTAAGATAAATTTCGGTAAAAAAGTCAGTTGCTCACTCACCTAGTGTTGTAGGCAACACTGCGAACATTGATTCCATTTCCAGTGTCAAAGTATTCATCGTACTCGCAGTTACCATAGTTTTCCTCATCAGCGTTGTGGATGCGGTACATTTCATACCACGTTCCCACGTACTGGAAGAACAATATTCTGTATCAAGTTTGTTAGTCTGTGTACGTATTTTAGATCTGAGACTGTCAGAGCGATGACAATGAAAATTTCTGTCGTCCGGTGATAGCTAACTGACGTTTCGGGGAAACATATCGCATCCACTTTCATGGCCAAAAAATAAGGCAAGCAAGAGGCAACGTGCAGCAGATAGCACAGAGAGTTCTACTGGATTCTCGCTTGGTTTATTATTCGAACCTCAAGATCGGTTGAATTTCGCTGGACAACTCGGCGTTATATTCCAGAAGACTAAACTCTATATCTACATTTTGTTTATAACTCAAAAACTGATAGCTGTTTGCGTTCTTAGCCTGTCATTCGATAGAACTACTAGCCTCTTTGGTTTATTTCACACTGTAAATGACTCTTTCCTCAAAAGCCCGATGTCCGGAGCTCAACAGGATAAAATATTCTCAGCCTATTCAGCAATCCATTTCAATATTATCCTCCAGTCTGTGAATGGTTATCCAGAATAATCTCTCCTCATGAGGTTATGAACTGAATTCTGTATCAATTTCTTGTTTCTCCCATGGACTTACTTGTTACATGGGGACGCGCCATAGCTCAGGCGATTAGTCGCTGGCTTCCCACCACGGAGGTCCGGGTCTGGTCAAGTGGGATTTGTGGTGGACAAAGTGGCGCTGGGGCAGGTTTTCTCCGAGTACTTCGGTTTCCCCTGCCAATCTTCATTCTACCAATTGCTCCACAATCACCCTCACCTATCATCTGGGGCTGGTACAATAGGCCAGAAGTGGCCGCAGTCCCACCCCACTAGCAATAAAAAATACTTGCTACATGTAATTTAATATCATCTTCAACCTTCTAGCCTTCCTAACAATTTCAGGCGAAGGGTACTAACTGTGGATCTCTTTGATATGTAACTGTTTGTATTGTCATCTTATGAAATGTCTCATCAGAATAGCTTTGTGATAACGTCCTCAGTCTCTGCCTCAAATATAAATATAATAATGTTGATATTAATATTATATTATGCCTAGAGCTTTACAGAAACTGATTTACATCTGACTTACTTGATTTATATTGAAACCGGTGAAAGTGACATTCCCAACTTGGCATTGCTCTTCACTGGCAGCTAAGACTGAGCTGGCTAGTAGGCACGGTATCAAAATCAGCAGCATTTTGTCAATTAAACCTTGAAAATTTGAAAATATAAAGGCATGAAGACAAAATATATAACCTCTTAAACGTTTCCAGCACGAATGACTGTGATGAAGGAATTAAACATGAAACTAATTCCGTGAATAGAGTAAAGCAAAAATAATAACAGGCGTGAAATTGTATACTCCATTTAGGAATATATAGAGTTACCAGATGCGTGCTTTGCGATTGTATATCTCTCTACACAGTCAATGTATTCATTTATATATACAGAATGTTTCACGACTTTAGGGCATAACTGCAGGAGATGATTTCCTAGGTCTTTGTGATCAAAAAAGTTCATATAAACATGTGTCCGATTTTGGACGGTTACGGAGTTATGGCCGTTTTTTCATTCCCGTACACGCCCTCGTGTGAACCGCGTCTGTCAGCTGACGGGTCGCTCTTTAGCCAGCTACAGACAGAGCGTTCTCGTTATCTCGACACTTGAGAGGTACCTAAGGCGGGGTGGGTTGGTATGTCCGGCGCGGTTCACAACCGAGCGGCAGCCTGTGTTGCGGCCGGCGGTGACATTTTCGAAAATCAGCTTTAAGCACCAATAAATTCAAATTAAAGGTAATTTTACGAAGCTAACTTCACAGTCATACTTTAAATGTATAATGTATTATGCTGGTTTATTATTTTGTTCCGTTTATTGTCAGTAATCGTTACCTTCTATTCTGAGTTTAAAACGGTCATAA